ACTTCAACTAATATTTTCACTTTATAATCCTTATCAAGATAAATTACAAGGAAGATATGACTCTGTATCATAAATTGGATCATTAAGAAGGTCTCAATTTTGCTTCCTTGCTTCCCCTTCAGAGTTTTTTAGAAGTCATATCTGCCTAATTAAACCCGTGGGTGCGGTCATGAAAATGGAATACTCCAGCAGGTTTAACATAGCTCAATCCTAATGCTGTTCATTAAGATGCCTCCCAGCGGAATGTCACTGAGGTCCCTGTGATTTTTGTTCACAATGAAGCAACCACACCGACTATAACAATTACAGTCACTGCAAAGAGTTTAGGTCACAGTGCATGAGGCTCCGTATCATCCAAAAACCATCTATTAAAAATAAAGAAGCAAAGAAGAGGAAAAGCTAAGGTTATGGAACTATTGACAAAAGACAATGGGAAAACATTTCTCTAAGAGATAAAAAAAAAATGTGTGGGGAAGAGACAGCATTGAGAAAACAATGGAAAAAAAGGGAGTAAGAGACAAGTAGAGAGCTCAATGGGACTGCTGTGTTAACGTGCAAAACTATTTAAAAGGCTTGCAGGTAATTCCGGGGGCGGGAAAAAGTCTAATACAGTCATAATTCCAGAATAAAAAAGAATTTTAAAATCCAAGTTTTTTTTTATAGTTAGGGAAAATCTGTAGTCTTCCAGGAAGCTGTGAAAATATCTGAAACCCTGGGGAAAAGCAAAGGGAGGGAAACAGGACATGCCTCCTTGCAGTCAGCGTCCAGGCGCACAGCTGGGAGCCTGATACCAATCGGTGCGGGTCCACCTGTCGCGCGTCCCAGCCCCGAGTCACACCTGGTTTCGAGGAGAAGGAGCGGCCACGATCCCTCCCATTTGGTCTTTAACTCGCTGGGTGCCTCAGAAAAGAACCTGCAGTCTCCCCTACCGCCACTTGAGTGGAAAGGAAGCAGTGAAAAGAAGAAAAGGCGGACCTGATCGTCGGCCCTGGCACTGGGGCCCGGAGGGGCCTTCGGCCCAGATGAGACCTCACTTCCTAGTGGCCGAGCTAAGACGCGGGCTCCGAAGGCCTCAGGCGCCGCAGGGTCAGGAGAGAGCCTAGACAGCCAGCGACAGCCACCCGCTCCCGGCCCGCAGCAACGCGTCCCCGCCGCCCGCCGCCCGCGCCCGCGCCCGGGAGCGCCCCTCGCGCCGACCGTTTGGAGCCGCAGTCCTCCTCACCCCGCCCCGCCGCGCAGCCTCCACAGCCGTGGACTCTTCAGCGAACTGGGATTCCGCTCGGCAGATTCCACACAGTGCTCGACAACACTTCCGAGGACAGCGACTCTGCCGAGGGGTCTCCTCAGTGGCCGGACCAATGGGCCTTGTGGATTTTAAGTCTGTGTAATCTTAATGGTCAGAGTGGGTCGGGTTGCGACACGAGGGACCAAGGGATCTGTGGCGAATCATAAAGAAGGGAAATGAAAATGCTTCTTCGTGAAGCGCAACCCCCGACGTCACTTCCGGCAACAATAGGAAACAAGACCCCGACAGGCGGCGGTGCTGGCCATTGCAGCTTGAGGTGCTCTGAGTTTAGAAGGGTTTTGGTGCTGTTTTCTGGCACTCCCGCCACCATCCCCTCCACCGGCGTGAGCGAGTGACTTGTGAAGCGGGTTCTCCATGGCCTGGGCACCAGTTCTTCTTTTTGGCTGAAAGCCCCCACCCAGAGACAGGTTCGTCGCGGCGGCGGTGGAGATCGCAGGTCGCTCAGGTAGGCGCGGCAGTCTCGGTGATTCATTCAGGTCGCTCCCATCTTTTCCCTGCACCACCTTGACATTTCTTCTAGGGAATAAAGACAACCAACGCTTGTTAGCTGGCTGAGACTGTCCGACCCGCAAGAGTTTGGGGCCAGTGACCGGGCCACACATTTTGAGTGACAGCGGCGGTGGCTTATGAAAGCGAGGAATCGGTGTCAAGAGGCGGGGATGAGCGTGTTCCTCCTGTTCCTAGGCAGGAGGATGTGGGTCGGTTTGGGAACTCAGATCATTCTGAAGAGAAGTCAAAAAGCGGCGAAGAATACTTTCAGGCCCAGGTGTTGCTTTTTTGTGGGGGGTGGGGTGGGGTGGGGGGGATAGTAGCGTTATTCTAAGCACAGTTTTGGGTTTTGGCCACTTTCCGGTAACACCAGCGTAAACGCACACAGGACAGTTAGGGTCAGGATGGATTGCCAATTGCTACAGGGTTTAAACTTTGTTTATACAATTTGGCAAAATATTAATTTGTCTTGTTTCTCTGTGACTGGATCCCTAGTAGTTGCTCAATGAATTTTACTTGACAAAGTTGCATAAACAAATCTTAATCTTTAATGGATTTTTTTAGTTTATTTTTAGATTCTGTATGTATTTGCTCATGAAATAATTTATTCTACTTGTTTTACAAATAAAATTTTTATTTTCAAAGATCCTAGATGTTTCTCCCCTAAATCAGTATGTCATGACTTTTATCATTGCAAAATGAAGCCAATTTATGTTTTTCATTTCAGTTTTCCTTTCTCTTCCTTTAATGTTTGGAGTTTGGTTAACTATATTTTTGAAATAGATTCCTCCCACTCCCTCAAATGTACCTCTCGGAAAAATGGTTTGCAAAATAGATCAGGTCTCAGAATGATAAACATTACTCTATTTTTCAGATTGAGTCAGAAGCCTTAATTTTTATCCAGTTAACGTGACAATTTATCTGATGAGATCATTCATTGGTTATGTTACTGATTTAAGAAATTACCCCAGCTCAAAAAACAACAAACATTATCTTAGTAGGTCAAGAGTAAGGGTGCAGCTTAACCAAATAACACTAGCTCAGGTTCTTTTCATGAGGTTGCAGTCAAGCTGTAGTTGGGGACAGTGATCTCATCTGAAAACTCCATGGAGGAGTGGAGGAGAATCTCTGTCCATAGGCACTATGGTGTTTGCTGTCAGGCCTAGGTTCACCACCATGTGGGTTTCTTTATAGGACTACCTCAGGATATGAGAGCTGGCTTCCCCAAGGGCAAGGGCTTCAAGAAACAGCATCCAAAGTGGAAGTCTTTTGTAATAATCTAATCTCAGAGGTGATATTCCATCACTAGTGCCCTAATGTAATTGTTAGAAATGAGTCATTAAATCCAACTAAAAAATCGAGATTTTACATAGGGCATGAATCCCAGGAGTCAGGAATCATGGGAGCCATCTTAGAGGCTGCCTAACATAGATACTCTGGGCGAAAACTTTAGGAGTTAATAGTTAGGAATAACTGAGCAAAGTGTATCCAAGAAAAATAGGGTCAGACAAGGAAAAATGCCAGTTTGGAAAGAAATAAACAACAAACTCATACTACTGTAGCATTATCTCTTTTGGGAAAAGTTTTCTTGTAGTTATTTTCCCCCTGCTCTCTCGAGAGAGGCTTATTTCTTATTTTTCTGAGGAAACTGAGGAATGTAAGATGAATGTATGGGTTTTCAGGGTCTACATGAGCAAAACATATCACAACTAGAGATTTTCTGTTTCTTACCCACCGCCATTGTATAGGGTTGAAGATGGGTCAAAATAAACATAAGCAAAGACAGCTTTTAAGGAGGAAAGAAATTATGAAGGAGCTAGACATAAACTTATGTAGATTGCAGGTTGAGACAGTCTTTATATTGGTGTGATCAAATAGGAAGAGATTTCTCTTAGAAAAGAAATATATCTTGGATGTCTCTTTTAAATTAGTTGCACAGCACCAGCACAGCTTTTGTCAGTAAACTGTAAATTTGTTGGAAATTATAGGTACAGACCTCAGGCTCAGGGTTTGTTCCAACACTATTTGGGCTATGACCCAATGTAAAATCACATATGCTGCTTATGGTAATAACGTCTAAATAAGCCAAACGATTCATCTTTCTTTATTATACAGTTGGTTTAATGGGGGATATTGTGTGGGTTTACTGTGTTTTTGCTAAGTTCAAAGATATTTTCCTCATTTCACAATATAAAAACATTGAATTGTCAAGGGATTTTATTCAGATTTATAACTTTATAGTTCAATATTTAACTACTAGTTCATAACTAATTTTTTTCTCATTTTGATTGAGATTTGGAAACTGAAGCCATTCCATTAACTAATCTATTAATTATTAATACTGAAAGCTAAGAACTCATATTGCTTTTTCACTGAATTATTTGACTTACATAATATTTTTAAACATTTATAATGAAAAAATGTATTTCTGTACATTTGTTTTCCGTTTTATTTTTTCTCTTTTGTTGTTTTGTTTTTCTGACAAGTTTCTTGACATGCATTCTATAATAAACCAAATCATCCTTGGCTGACTTAAGTATATATTTTGTGTGTTTGCTGTGTTTTTGCTAAGTAAGTCCCAAAGTATTTTACCTTCATTATACCTTTTTTTTTTGGCATTTTTTGGCCGGGGCTGGGTTTGAACCCACCACCTCCAGTGTATATGGGGCCAGCACCCTACTCCTTTGAGCCACAGGCGCTGCCCCATTTTACTTATTTTTTACAGTTTTTCCCAACTCATTTTCTTTTTATAAAGTTATATAATTGTTTTTCTAATTTTTTAATTGTGGTAAAATACACATAAAATTTACCGTCTTAACCATTTTAAGTGTACAGTTCAATGGCATTTAAATGTAGTTTTGTGTCATCATCACCACCATTCATCTGCGTAACTCTTGAATCTTATAAAACTGAAAATCCATACCCATTAAACTAATTTTCCATCCTCATACCCATTCTTAGATCCTGGCAACCATCATTGTACTTTCTGTTTCTGATTTTTTTTTTTTTTTTTTTGAGACAGAGCCTCAAGCTGTCCCCCTGGGTAGAGTGCCATGGCATAGCTCACAGCAACCTCCGACTCCTGGGCTCAAGAGAGTCTCCTGCCTCCGCCTCCCAAGTTGCTGGGACCACAGGCGCCTGCCACAACACCTGGCTATTTTTTTTTGGTTGCAGCCATCATTGTTGTTTGGCGGGCCTGGGCTGGATTCGAACCCGACACCTTAGGTGCATGTGGCTGGCGCCTTAGCCACTCGAGCCACAGGCGCCGAGCCTCTGTTTCTGATTTTGACTAAATACTTCATACTTACCTATAAGTGGAATCAGACACTGTTTCTCTTTTGTGACTGGCTCGTTTCACTAGTCATAACATCCTCACATTTTGCCTGTGTTGTGGGATATGTTAGAATTTCCTTTCTTTTTAAGACTGTGTAACATGCCATTGTATGTGCCACATTTTGCTTACCTATTCATATATTGGTGGACACTTGGGCTTCATCCATGTTTTAGCTGTTGTGAATAATGCTGCTAGGAACATGGATGTGCAAATATCTCTTCCCAATCCTGCTTTCTGTTCTTTTGGGTAGATACCCAGAAGTGGAATTGCTGGATCAATGGTTTTTCTACTTTTAAGTTTCTTGAGGAAGCTCCATACTGTTTCCACAGTGACTCTACTGTATTACATTCCCACCAACCGTGCACAAGGGTTCCGGTTTCTCCTGTCCTTGCCAATGAGTGTTTTGTGATGCTATCTATTTTAATGGGTTTCAGGTGGTATCTCATTGTAGTTTTTTACTTGCATTTCTCTAATAACCTGTGATGTTGAGTATATTTTCAAATGCTTATTAGACATTCATATATTTTCTTTGGAGAAATGTCTGTTCAAGTCTTTTACCCATTATTATAAGTCAAGTTTTGTTGTTGAGTTTCAAGAGTTTTCTCTATATATAGCTATTTTAAAAGTTCTCTCTATATATTCTAGATATTAATTTCTTGTCAGATAATATGATTTGTAAGTATTATCGCATTCTGTGTGCTGCCTTTTTTTACTCTGTTGATACTGTCTTTCAGTTTTAAAATTTTCCTGACATTCAGTTGGTCCATTTTTTCTTTGGTTGCCTATGCCTTTGGTTTTATATCAAAAAAACTATTGTGCAATCCAATGTTGTGAGGCCTTTGCCCAATTTTTTTCTTCTAAAAGTTTTATAGTTTTAGGTTTTTCATTTTTCTTTGATCTATTTTGAGTTAATTTTCATATGTAGTGAAAGAAATTAAATAAGCCTAAAATTCTCAGATTTGGGGTTATATTCAAATAATAAATCTTAATTTTTACATTTGTTTTGGTGC